TGCTACTAAATCAGTTTCACCTTATCTATAATTCATAAGAGTTTGAAGATGAGCAGCAAAATTATGGACATGAGTGACATTATTCAAAATCAGATTTTTAGGATCAAATACTCCCATCCATTTCAACGTATAAGTTATTTATTCAGCATCCTTATATAATTATTCTTCACTTTTATCTTTATAATAATATTAAGAAAACACACGATTAAACACTTTTGTTAATAATGTTTCCAATTGAGCTAATGTAAATAACTTCTAATCTATAGTATTAGCTAATTAAGTAATATGATGATTAGCCAAAAAATTAGTTGAACAAGATTCAAACCTTATATTACTCAGTAAATATTCAAACCAACTCATCTCTCTATCAACCTTTATGGTTTCTTCTGATGCAAATCCCAAAGCCTTCATAGCTGCCATTAATACACAATGTCCTTGATATCTTAATGTTCCTCTTACTAGTTTCTAACAATCTTTTAAACCATATAATTCTTAATAAGGCAAACTATCTCTATTTGGATATCCTTCCATCTATAATGATGGATTAACATGTATAATCTCTGTTGAGTAAAGTAACTCAGATGCTGGAATATACTTTTAAACTCCATTTTCTAAATATTTGGCATCATTGTTGACATTCCTAATTGCTGCAAATGGACTCCATGAGAACTTATAACCAAAAGGATTATCACAGAACTCTGGACTTGGCACACCTCCACACCATGATTCATATTCAATGATTCTTAATTTATTATATTTTCTTACTTTCCTCCTTTTGCATAAACTTCATCCCTAACTTTAACTGTTGCTAAATGATCAATTCCTGGATCTAAACCAATTTCATTTAAAATTATAATTCCTTTTTTTTTACATTCTTCTTCTAAAGCTCTGATCTCTGGAAATGTATATTATGATGTTATCATTGATCTTCCTACTTCTGCACATATTCTAGCTATAGGAACAATAAATTGTGGTGGAATATATGCTATCACAATATCAGAATTCTTAACAAATTTTCTTAATTCTTCTGTTTCTGTAACATCTAAATGATGAGCTGAACATCTCTATTTATTCTAAATGACTTTTCTAGCATCTTCGACATGAGCGGAAGCAACAACGACAAAATTCTAAAAATGTATCCATATAGTACGTCATTTCTCTTCAATAATTAATCAATGACAGCTTCTGCCATCAAACCACTTCCAATAAGAAGCACCTTTTTTTATTATCCCATCAACTGATTTCTATACAAACTTAACATTTATATATATTAATTTATCAAAAATAAATATCAGTGTCCATCTTTTATTACACAATTTTCTCATATTAATTTCTTATTAATAGATAATAATTTACAACATTACTAATTTCATTGTCAAATATAAACAAGAATAAATAATCAATCTTTTCTTATTCAATAATATAGTAATAAGATCTTGGTGTTTTTATTAATTTATATATATTTATGCAAAGTATAAAATAGCTATTAATAGATGTGCTCGATATTATTGATAAAGTATAATGTTTTACATATAAGGATGTCGTGGAAGCTTATTAATAAATGAATAAATTGACTACGAAAGAGATTTGTGGATAGTCGGAAATATAATAATATGAATACATACTTTAAATTGTAGCTTATCTGAATCGGTTGCTATGTTATTTAATACCATTATAGAATCAAGATACTATTTGAAGAATAATTAGAAGAACATATTAATAATGATTATGAATCAATTATATAAAATCTTGAGGCTTCAATACGTTCCCATATAAGAGTGGAACAATAACAAAAATTGTAAATCGAAAGCTTGATGTAAAAAATCGAAGAAATTACTGTAGAAAAGGATCTCATAATTTAACAGCAACAAGATAAAATAAAATCATTAGAGTAAATTATTAAAGTATCTAATTAATATTTTCTAGGACTAAAACAAGAAGCTTTAAGAGAACTCGCCTATAGAAATTATACATAGGAAAACTCCATCTGCTTTTGAGAGATTGGGGAAATTCGTTCAAAATAAAGTTCAAAAGAATATTCATAATTCTACTTATGAGGCAAATTTCAAGACTTTCCTGAAGGTTTGTCATACTGATGCTGATCGATCTCTATCAAAAGGAAGAAGACAACTATCTGCAAAAAGAGAATTAGGGTTGCAGCGAGTAAATGATGAGACGTAGCAAATTCTCGAATCTAAAATTACAGAAACTGAAAGATAAAGAGACAATGGGAGACATAAACTCTAGAGGTCAGATAAAATCAATGAATTATAACATTAAACAACTAGTCCTGAAAAATAAATGTAGATCAATAAATGTAAAGCATTATCTAAGGTTAATTAATAATTTATTATAATAGTTTGACTCTTAGAAATAAGAATAAACAGTTTCTAGTTAGAGTTTTGAGTAAGTAGGTAAGAGTTTAATAGCATTATAAAAATAAATTTCTAATGGACGCCTTAAAACTACTTAAGGAACTTAATTACTTAAATTTTTATAAAAGAAATGAATATATTACATAGATTGATTCTGTAATGATTTTATACTAATTTTTAATTATTTTTAAGGAATTGTCTTTCATATTTTAATCATAATAAAATTCTAATATTCTAAAATATAATTGTGTTATTTTTTATAATGATTTGGAAAAAATTGGATGCTCTTTTATCAAAGGCCGAGGCTAAAGGCTTTAAGATGGCTAACAAAGCTCATGTGTACGTTGTTAATGGGATCCTATGCCTTATAGCATATAATGTCTACACAGTGTTTAGGGGTTATAATGAATTCTTTTTGGAAGCAAGAGTATAAATTACAAAGAATTTAGCAAGAAGCAGCTCCAGATCTTGATGATGTAACTGGTGAACCCCAATATCCAATCAATAAGAATATACGCAAGAATTGATAATGACTATGATATTAATTCAGATTATTATTATTCTCAGTCATTATATATAATCTATTTTAAAAAACAAAGAATAAGACTTAAGAGATTATAAATAATCTATAAATACATGATTATTTAGATAATAGAAACAAAATTCAAAAATCTAAGATCTTTTTATAAATAGTATTCCATAAATAGTATTGTTGATACTTAAACAAAATTAAGTCTAAGTTTTTTAATTTTAGATAACTACATAAAATACCATTATTAATTATTTCTTTCTTTTAAGGTTTATACAATTTTTTTCATCATTTTATAATTCAAAAAATGAAATAGTGATTTATTTATTATATCTAAATAATAAGAAGTAACCGATTTATACTTGATTCTCTGATACAGAATGATTAAATAATGAGAGAAATGACTTAAACCTATTAAAAATTGATTAAGAATTCTTATATTAATCTATTAATTAAAAAAATGTCTCAAGTTTATGAGAGCGTTAATAACTAAAACCAAGATGCAGAGAAAAACTTTGATTAAGTTTATATGCATGAAAAACCTTATACAGGGAAGGCACCTGTCAAAGGAACATATAAGGATAGTGCAATGACTCTTATTAAAGGATATGTAGGATCAGGAATATTGGCAATGCCATTTAGTTTTTATGTTGGAGGATGGCTTTTGTCAATATTCATCTTTTTAATAAGTGCTTATATGTTATTGTTATGCGTTCATTACTTAATTGAAGTAGCAAATGCAGAAAATAAAGAAAATCAAGGTCTCACAGAAGTGGCCGAAGTCACATATGGAGAGAAGGGGAAATAAATTACAAAAGTCGTTTTGATTGCCTATTAATTAGGAAAGGCTGTAGCATATTTAATATTTTTTATTTCCTTCTTTGCTCATATATTTTCAAATGCTGATAGTTAATCTGGAGCTGGTAATTGGATATATTTAATAATGGCATTCTGTATTGTGCTTCCTCTTTCTTTTATTGACAATATGGCTCGATTTGCTAAACTAAGTCTATTTGCTAACGCTCTCATCCTCGTTGGTTTAGTTTATATTACATGTAAGAAAGTTTGAATTTATCAATTTAGTCTATGACTTCTATCAAATACTTGAGGGAGATGGGATTAAAGAGAATGTGATGAATTTGGCACACTTTGAGTAATTTCCTATGATTATAGGAGTAACAGCCTATGGTTTTGGAGTTCTTCCTCTTGCTTTTGCAATTAGAGTTACAATGTCAGAACCGAATAAATTTAAGAATGTAAGATATTATTCTTTAATTAATTAGCTTTTTAATGTGGTTTCATATTTCAGTTTAGGATTATTTCTTGCATTTACATTACTATCAGTTTGGGGTATGGGAAGTAGAATGAAAAGTCAATAAATTATCTTATTTTGTCTTGACAATAATCCTTTATCTTATGTAATTTAAATTTGTTATGCTTTTGGATTGATCTGTTCATACCCTCTTTAAGTGTTACCAGCATTTTAATAGATAGAGAGAATTGAAAAATTAAAAAGTTACATAAATCCTGAATTGAAATACTCAAGTTTTCGTAGATTAGCAATAAGATCACTTATCAATATATTATTAGGATTGATAGGTTATTCTATTCCTAAATTTGCTTATTTTGTGAATATATTAGGAGCAATAGGTGGAGCTTCTTTAAATTTTCTATTTCCAATATTGATTCATAAAAAATATTTTGAAAATGATGAATTAAAGAGAAAGAGTAAATTCACTTATTATGGAATTCTATCATTTGGAATATGTGGAGGATTATGTTCATTTATCTATACAATAGTTAAATTAACAAGTCATTGATTATTATTATATTTTATAATTAAAAAAAGTATAATTTATAAATAAACTTACTTAAAAATATAAAAATATTACAAAAAAATCTTAATGAAAGTTATAATTTATTATATTTGTCTTAAAGTACAATAATATTTATAATCTATAAATTCTATTTATAAATAGAATTTTAGATAATATTATGTAAAGAATTAATTATCATTATAAATTTATAATAAATATTTAAAGGATATATATATAATCTTTAATATATTAGATAATTAATTTATTTAATTATTAGTCTCAACATACAAAATTAATGAAATTTTATTATGCTATTTTATCCAAACCTCTTTTATATTATTCTAATTCTTGTAAAAATGGTGGAATATAAATATTTTTTGTATATATTTATCCAATTTCTCCCAAACGTATACAATCTTTAATTGTTATTTTTCCACTATGTAAATGAATAAAATTTAATTTGCCTCTATATTTCAAAATTTTGATTGCTCCAGTCAAATATACTTAATCTTTATACATTCCTCCTGATTATGATGTATCCTTTAATCCTCTCTTAACTCTTAAACATTCTCTGAATCTAGCCTCATCATCTTAAATAAAGTGTCTTAATTCATGGAATAATTTTGCAAAACTCATTTAACTAGCCAATATTGACTTATTAATTAATAAATCATATATACAGAAATATAATGCAAAGCAGCCATAAATAAATAAGGTTTGCCTTTCTATTTAAGAGCCTATGGAAGTACTTGATTCAAAACAGCCAATCCTTCTTCATGTTTTAAGTATGGTTCCAGATGATATTTAGCTCTTGATCAATTTAATTTATACCTTTTCTTATACCATTATTATTATCTATCATTTATTTTTCTAATGAAATGTGTTCCAATCTCATGATTCAATACTCCTTCAATACGATTTATGCGATAGTTAATTGGTAAACCTATGATAACTTTACTTTTTCCATCAGTTGGATTATGTACAACACTAGTTGGAGCTACAGTATGATCTTGAAATTCATAAGATATCAAATCTTAAACACCTAATTTATGAATATAATCATTAAAGAAATGTTCAGTTTCTTCAATTGATAGTAGTTTACCTCCTTCTTGTTCAGCATATTTCAAATCAGATCCAAATTCTTTAATACATTAATCAATAATTTTTAATGCAATTTCTTCATATTTACGATGAGGTTGATCTGGACCAAGTTCCTTTTAAATAGAAATTAGATGAAACCTTAACTTCAACATATTCAAATTATGGATTGTAAGCAGCTTTCATGGCAAAAAACAGATGCTTCTCACTTTCTAAATTTAATGGCTTAATGTCTTTCATTTTGGGCTACATAGAGGGTTGGTCTATATACTCTCTTGATTTTTGATTTCTTTTTCTAAGGTGAAATGGATGAAGATGTATTGATTTTAATCTTAGTTTTTTTGCCCACTTGCTTTTTATTTGGTTTTGGAGTCTTGTCTACTTAAGATTGTTATGGCAAAACATGTTTGGACCATTTGGTTATGTCAAATTACTCTGATAGTAATTGTATCTCGTTTGCATCCCTAAACTGAAGTATTCAAAGAATTAAATACAGGTGAGAAAAGAACATCTTTATTCTCGTTTTCACTACTACTACTACTATGACTACTGTAACTACTCTCTATGTATGTCTATTATTGCATATTAAATTATTTAATCATAATTTTAATTTGGGTTTTTGTTCACTTTTGAATAACTTTGGCAAGGTTTTCCTTTCAACAATTGATTATGTCATGGAATAATTATCTACTGATATTGCATTTCGTTTTTTAACTTCTTATGTTTTGAATTTCTCTTTATATTACTTCAATTATTATTAATAATCATCATTTGATTTCAATATTCTTTTTTTTTCAAATTTCAATTAATCAATTTATTCAGCATAATCATCTTTCTACTTAATTAATAAATTAATTGTCTATTATAAAGTAATAATCTCCATTTTCATAGTTGTTTCTTTTCTTTTGCTTTCATTCAATTAAAATTATAAATCTTCAAATTCCAAACATTATTATTTATAAAATCTAATATTAGAATTAAAATATACGAAATTTATTTCTCATAATTAATTTTTTAATCTTCAGTATCTTATTACCATTTATCTTTTAATTAATGTAAAGCTTTAGTGAATTTATATGGTTCAAAAAGCAATTCAATTTTTTAGTGTTCTACATGATGATTATTTTCATTTTGATCATTTTTTTCACTATGAGATCTCTTATATAATGGAATTTCTGATAGCATTTCATTAGTTTTTTGTTAAACAAATTTAATAAGAGCATCTTAGTTAGTTTAAACTTCTTAAGTAAATAAAGTTATTAATTATTATTTTAAGTCCATAAATTTTTAAATAACTCTATCTCTTTCAAAAGTTAATTGTTCAACATGAATTTTATATTTACTTTCAATTTATTCTCTAATATTATCTTCTAATCCTTAAGTACACCTAAATATGTTAATTAATTTAGATACTTCTAATAATCTCTAAATTTAGATTATAACATATCCAAATCAAATAATATTTTATTACTTTTTGCAATAACAAGTGCTTATAATCTTTCATCAAAAGACTATTTCAATTATTCATTTTCTAAAGTCTTTTCTTTTAATTATCTATTTAATTATTTAATCTATGTTTTTTATTATTCATAAATTAAATTAAAAGTTTCCATTCTTGCAGTTATTTCATTTTCTGCAAAAGTATATAAATCTCTATTTAAAATATTGAGACAATCTTCAATATCTTATGAACTAATAGAATAACCCATTCCACTAACTAAAAGATTAGTTTAAATTGATTTGTTCCTCAATCTATTCAAAAATCCTTATATAAATGATATTTTCAATGCATTATGTATTTCTCCATTCTTTTAACTTAATGTACTTTGTAAACTATTTATGAATTTTACTCTTGGAATAGCAATATTTATTTTAGACACTAATTTATCCATAATTTCTGTTTTTTCTATATATTCTGGAGCAACATTCAAATATTATTATAACAAGTAAACATTATCATTCATAGCTTTTATAGAAGTATTTGTAAGTTAATTATATACTAATTCTTTTAAAGTCATCTTCTAATCTTTTAATTATATTTCAAGATCATTATAATATAATTTTAATTCCACACTACTTATATTAAAAATATATGGATTTTATAATAAAACATATGTATCTTACAAAAGAGTTGAAATACATGCTTCTTTAATATTAATGACATTCTGTTTTCTCAGCATAATCCTTTCATTTACACCAATATTACCTGGAACCTATAACATCAAACTAATATTTTAATGTTATTCATTATGATAATAAGTCAAAAGATTCTCATTATTTATAGGCAAAACTAAATTGATCATTTTAATTTAATCTGAATAAGTATTTGAATCCAATTTCTTAAAATTCCTATACAATTCTTTTTATTTAATCTTATAAATATTTTAATATCTGACATATATAGTTTTAAAGAAATTAAGATTCACAGAACTAAATTAATGTTTTAAGAAAAGACATTAATTAATCAATTAATATTACTAATAATATTCAGAATCTGGATACTAATAAATATTATTAATATTTTACATCTTTGGATATTAAGAATTTACATTAATTATAAATGTAATAAGTTTTAGAATAAAGATTTAAATATGATTATTTAATCTCTGGTATTAATTCATTAATTTTATTTTTTGATTTGAATAGTTCTATTTATTAATTAAAAGATTCAAAAACTTTGTTTATTGAATAAAATGATTTTATTTTATCTATCATTTTATCTATTGCTTATGCTACTAAAGCTCGTTATTCTATTACTTAATCTGATATACATTATTTAATATCCATTTAATTTCTAAATTATCAATTATATTTCTTACTTATCATACTCTAAAACACTTTTAATAGGGTTCTTTCCTAATTTACCTTAATAAAGCATCTCTTTTGTTTAATCATAATAATCAAATGATAAATTAAATAGATATAGTTCATTCATATGTAATAATTCAAACCAGTTTAAATATATTGTATTATGTCTCAATAATTCCATCAAGTATTAATATATAGATTTATAATATTATCTGAGATCCCAATTTGAATCTTATTGCTTTTATTTTTAAAAATCATCTTTAGAATAAAATTGATCTATATGAATATGAGTTTCTAATCTCTCAGCAAACTATTTAAATTATTAAACATAAACTAATTGTTCTTCTTAAACAGATAATAAAAAATTCTTATCAATTTAACTAGAATTAGGAATTACTTATGAAATTCTTTTAATTCTCATTTAAGTATAAAAAATATCAACTTTAATAGCTTCATATTAAGTAATACTCAAAAAATCTTAAATTAAACGTTTTATTAAATATAGTTTTAAACTATATATATTATATAATATACTTCTAATCCTTTTTTAGACATAAAATCTACATTTTATCACTTTAAAATGAATTTACTCTTGGCCTCTCTTTGTATTTATTTACATATTTAATAAATAATTCAGCTTTTGTTTATTTAGCTTATTTCAAATATTCATCTATTTCTTAAGGTTTCTTAGGTAAATTTGATAATAATCTAAAATATTTTATTATAAATATTTACAATTTTTCATTGAATTCAAATTAATTAATTTATTTAGTTGTTAATTTTGAGTTTTATGGTAAATAACCAATTTATGCAAAATGCTTCAAATCTAATTAAGCTTTCATATAATCATCAATATAATTAAATCTTAATTCATTTTATGTTTAAAGAAACATCACATTGATTTAATCATACAATATAATATTTCTAAATTCTTCTATTACATCTTAAAATACTAAGATTTCAAATTATTTTAATAAAATGAAAGGTACTTCTTAAGTTGCATCAATTTCAAAACAATATGGAGAATAACAATATTTAACAGCTTAATTCTTTTTATATTGACTTTATAAATCAACTAAATTACTTTTAAAATATAAGTCATTTGTTTTACTCATTTTTTGATATCCATGTATTTTTTTATAAATTCTATGTTATACTTTCATTTCTAATTAAATATTTAAAAAATGTTTTCTTAATCTTAAATATTCTAAAAGATTATTTATAGCTCCAATATCTGTTATTTAAATCTATTATTGATTTAATGTCCTCTCTAAATCATATAAAGAAATATTTAAAATATATGGATTAATATCATTTTATACTGTAGATTTTATTCTATCAAAATACTTTTAGATTAATCCATATTCAGATTCAAATAACGTATTTTCATGAAACTTTTTAATATAAGGTAATTTTTAATCTTAATATGAATATACTTATGCTTATTTTAATGAGGCTATTTAAAGACTTAAATAACCTTAAATAGAATTTTAAGGGAATTATTCTTAAAGCATTTCAAAGCTATTTTTAAAAGTTTTTATAATAAAAGTAACTAAATATAAAGATTCTGTAAAATTAAATCCATTATAATCTTCTAGAATTTAAAATGGTAGTAATATTGCATTAGGATCAATAATTTTTAAATCTTTTGATGCTGAATTTAAATTGACTGCTGATTATTTATTAGTTGTATTAAGTTCTTAAAAGATTTAAGACATTTTATTGCTAACATTATAATAATCATATTATTCATTTAATCTAGAATCTCTAGCAGTCTTTTATTCAATTTTAGGAGTTTCTGCTCTACTAAGTACTTTTTCAATTTCTTCTTATTGCATTCTAATTAATACATATTATTCATTTATTTATTTGATTTATGTATTTTCATGTTATTATTATTTATTTATTAATATTTCCATAAATTCTCTCTAATTTTTCAATAAATCTTAATTCAGTATATAACTATCTTTAAAGTAAAATGATTCTAAATCTAATAATGGGATTGCTTGAATAATTTCAAAAATGGTTTCAATTATTTCTGATGCATGATATTGATCAACAGTATTATCAAATATCTTCATATATGTTTAAACTAATTTTAATTTTTAAAATTAATATATAGCTTCTTATTCTAAACAATCAAGTGTACATTAAAATCTATCAACAATAGGATTAATAGATTTAATGCTACTAATTTTTTCATATTTATTAATATAAAGTGATATTTATTATATTATTCTTTTCATTATTTTTTTAAATTCATCTATAGTACTATCATAAATAGGATTTATAATTTTTTGACTGATAAATACATCAGGTAATTCTTCATTTGAATAAAAAATTTCATCTTCTATTTTACAATACTTTAATTCTGGAGATAGATTTTATCTAATTTTCTAAGTAGATTTATTAGTAGCATCTAAATATGAAATTATTGCATTTCTTCTTTAATTAATTAATTGATTCATTTAAGTATCATTTACTTCAGATTTTTATTTTTAATTAGCTTTAATTAGAAATTATGTATCTACAGTTGTGTTTACTTTACATTCTCTTAAAGATAATAAACTAAAAGTAAGTTTTCTTTCAATTGATTATAATGCATTAATAATATAAAATATTTTACGATGAAATTCTCTCATTTTACAAACTAAAGTTGAAAAGTATGCTTAAAGATGTGTTTCTTTAGGAGTTAATTCAATCATTAATTCTTCAAATGCTTTAACAAGATCTGATTTGAATTTTGTTTTATGTCTATAATGAATCTCTTTATTACATATTTTTTCATAAAGTTCATTTATCTATCTTAATCTTAAAGATTCTCTTGTATATTCAATATAATCATTATTCTCAATAATATTGAAAAGTGTATAATTATCACTTCTAATTTGTTTAATTTATTAATCTATATAAGCTTACATAGATTTATTTAAATTAATTGGTAATAATTATATCAATTTTTCTGTATAAGTATCTACAGTTACAAAATTTAATTAATTTAACATAAAAGTTTAATATTCATTAAGTATTATGTTTTTAGAATTTAATAACATTTTCCAATCATTTTTAACATAAACTAGTGATATGTTAGGATATATAGGTAATGGATGATTTAATTATTTGATTAATTCTTCTGAATCATCAAAAGCACTTAATTCTATTGTTAATTTTTATAAACCACTATAACCATCATATTCATTTTTTTCAGATTTATCCCATGCATATAAATATTTCTAATATCCATCAAGCATATGTTATAAATTACATAGATGGAATATTAATTTCTATTCACCAAATTATCTAGGATTTTTAAGAAATTTAGATGCACTTTAATACAATCTATTTTACATCTCATAATCAGTTAAAACTATTAAAGGAAGACGATCAAATCTTTAAGTTATTCTACTTTCATCTAATGAAAATTTAAGTGGTTTCAAATACTCTTATAATTATAATACTACATCTCTACTCATTTCTTAAATAAATATATATATTTACAATATTTAAGATTTAATTTGCTTTCAATATTTGTTACAATATCATTAAAATATTATTAATTCTATTCACTATTTTAAACTTTTAATTAATTTAAAATCTTATTTGCATTATCTTATATTTCAAATCTATCCAAAAAATGCATCCATTTACAAACATATTTTAATTTACGAAATGGTAATTTTATTTTATCAAAATATATCTTATTTCTCAAATATATTTCAACATCATCCATAAATATATTACTATATAATGCTTATTAATTATCTTTATAATTTTTTATCCCATCATCAATTCTTAGTCTTTCCAATCTTTAATTTAAATTTATTATCTAATTGTCAATCCATTAAATTCTATGCTTATAAATCAATTCTGCTTATGGTTTCTATATACTATCCTCTTATTACAATGTTCTCTATTTTCTTATTTTTAATTAACAGATCTTTCTTTTGTAAAGTTGAATTATTTCATTCTTTAAACTATCTGGTGTATACTTTTATTGATTCAAACCTTATATATATTAAAGTAATTGTTTTTCATATGAAATTGCTTTCTAAGGTCTAATTCATATTTTCAAAATACTTAATTTATTATGTAAGATTATTTAACAATCCTTCATAGTATTCTTATTATTTATCTGGATGTTGGAAAAACAAAGCATCTTTATGTTTAAAGAAATAAAGTTATTAACCAATATCACAATTTATTTATTTGTTCATTTTCAATTTGATCTTGCCTCTTGAAACTAGCTCTTAATACTTTATATAAGCATCCCTTAATCGAGAATTTGCCTTTATATTTGAAGGGATCAGATCATCATTAACAATTTATATCATAATTATTAAATCATCCATTTATCAAATAGTCTTTATAATCAAATTATTCTTCAGGATAAAATGAAGTAATAACAGTTCTTTTATTATATGTACGTCCAGCTAAATGAAACTTAGCCTTTTTCGCAGGTATTTAATAATAAAACTTAACAAATACTTTCCCTACAGCAGGATTACAGAAACTATATAATTATAATTTTATAAAATACCCTGATTCTCTATCAGGTCTAGGAATCTCTATTTTTTCAATTTATCCATAACGCATACACTCAGTTCTTATATCTTCTATCAATTCCTCAAAAATATCATCTTCATATAAATCTTAAATTGAACACTTGAAATTTAAAATATAATTTATTACCATATTCAAAAATTAAACAACTTTACTAGGAATCAATGCTGATTATGGTATTGTTAACATCTATTAAACTTAAGGAATTCTTAATAAATCACAAGAAGCTAAAAATGAACCTGCATAATTTGATGGTTAATCTTTTCCATTTATTTTTTTATTTTATTGAGTTTCACCTTAAACTTTACAAATCTTCAACTTTTTATCACCTATTTACAAATTATTTAGTGCCTTTAAAGCTTTGGCTGTAGACACAGAATTTTCATATTCAAAGAAACAATAACCCTTTGAAATTTCTGTATTTGAACTAGTATCCTTTACTAAATTAAAATATTTGGTTATTCCAAAAGATTGAATTAATTTCATCACATCTTCATCTCTTAAATATGTAGGCAATCCACCCAAATATAATCTAGTATTATCTTCTTATTTCTATTCTGGATTTAATTCTCCATCTTTAGTTTATGGATTGAGTATTCTCTCTAAAAATTTTCTAGGTCTTTCAACCTTAATTTTGCAATTATTGACAAATTAAACTTAATCCTATGTAACTAATGCTCTTTTTGCTTCTCTTGAACTACATTCTAAAACAACCCAAGATTTAGTTGCCCCATATTCAATTGATTTAATGGGTCTGTCATCTAATATTCAGCTATGAAAAATACTTATTTTAGGATCAAGAGAAGTAATTAGTGTATTAAAATATTCTTCCAATTCTTTTAATTAAACATTAAGAGGTACATTTGAAATAATCATCATAAATGGATTATTTTCATAAATAGCATACTTCTCTTTAATATGTTAAGGTAGATCTGGATCTTACAAAATTTTAGATTATTTAACTTTATTCTACCAATCATCATCAAAATCTGTAAGTATTTCCTCTATTAATTATTTTTTATTTTAGATTACCTTCTTCTCCCCATTTCTTTTTCTTTTTATTTTTCTTCTTTTTTTTCTTTTGTTCTGGTTGTTAGACTTGATCTTTCTTATCATTCTTTTCATTATCATCTGATTCTCTTTCAATTGACTCTTTAGGTTATTCATCCTAATTCATTTTATATTAATTAATTATAATGCCTAATTCATATCTTTTTTTCCCTCTCAGCTTTTAAATAAATTATTTATGAGCAATATCCCATAACCATAACATCCCCAATAAGCACCATTAGCACCATAAGCACCATAACCATATTATGGATAACCCACTTATGCTTAACCCAGTTATGCTTAACCATATGGTGCTCCTCTTTCACCATTGAGATATTCCTATGCTCCTCCTGTTGTTTAATAGGTTGTCCCTTAAACCTATGTACCTCAACAAGTTGTTGCTCAACCAGTCATTGCTCAATAAGTTGTTGCTTAACCAGTTGTTGCTCAATCTGTTGTTGCTTAACCAACAATCAAAGGTGAGAGCAGAATTGAATATGTTCCATATGAGAAAACTGTACTTGAATATGAAGAAGTAAGATAAAGAATCTAAGTGCCAAAAGAGAAATATGTTACTGATTATTACGCAGTTGAATATCAAACAGAATATGTACCATAAGTCTTCTAAGAAAAATTTACAGGTATGACATTTAAAAATTTAAATTTCCAGAATATGTTCCTGTAGATAGATATCAAGAAAGAGTTGAGTATTATCCAGTTGAGAGATAAGTTGTTCATCAACAACAAGTCTAATAAGTTGTTGCCTAACCAGTCTAATAAGTTGTTACTCAATCAGTCGTTCAACCAGTCTAATATGCTCCATAACCAGTCCAATATGTTCAACAACCAGTTTAATATGCTCCATAACCAGTCCAATATGCTCCATAAACAGTCCAATATGCTCCATAAACAGTTTAATATGCCCCAGCTCCACTTTAATAAACAACCTATGTTCCTCCTCCAGTTGCTAGTCTTCCATTAGCCTAGACCTAAGTACCAACCAGAACAGTCCCATAAGCTAGACCCCAATAACCATTAGACAAAACTTAGGTATAAGATTATAATTAAATGTAGGCTTAAAATCCAAGACAAAACCCACAACCAACCCAATAGCCACAATAGAAATAAAAGAGCTTTTTAGACAGACTCTTTGATAGAGATTGATTATCATAATCGTTTATATAACATATAAGCCATATTTTTGTTTAATTTATAGATGATCTGATCTTCTTTTAAAAAAAAAGTAAAATTTTAAATTTTTTTTTTTTTTTTTT